TAACTAAATCATGAATGAACTGTGATTAACCACATTTTATGGAAAGCTGAGTTTAATTTCACTTGCCATACCCAAGCTTGATTACTACCAGACCTGTTGAATCAAGAAATCACTTAAATAGAAGTTGTCTGACAAAGTGAAGCATGTAAAAAGAGCTCAAAGAGAAACACATCATGCCACGAGAATTCAAGAACAGATGAGAAACAAAGTAATTGACATGTCTCAGTCTGGAAAAGGTCAGTCAGGAGGTCAAAAAAGAACTCAGAACAACATTTAAAGAACCGCAGGTCTCACTTGCCTTGGTTAAGGTCAGTGTTCATGATGCAACAATAAGAAAGAGTCTTTTTTCATTTAATAAATTAAATCATCATTTAAAAACTGAATTTTGTATTTACTCTGGTTATCTTTCTGTAATATTAAAATTTGTAAGATGATCTGAATCATTTAAATGTGTCAATTAAAAAATAAACCAGGAAGGGGGCAAATACTTTTTCACAGCGCAGTACATAGATAGAAGCCATCGCCCTTGCATTGCTGTGCTTACTGTACCTATTATAATTACCAATTTCTTATTTCCAAACAGTGCTCTAGACCTAAAGTAAAGCGAAGAACCTACTTAAGGTGAACCATTGCTTTGCCCACACAGAGTAAAGCAGCTGGTTCAGTTTAATTTAGTCCTTTACTTCAGCATATATTTTATTTTCTTTCAAAACCCTCAATCACAACTGCTTGGTTCAGCCACTGGTAAATTGTAAATTGGTGGAGTCAAAGCTTGAACAGAATTATGGACTTCCCATATGCTTATAAGACCAGTGCTGTCTCATGAGATGAGTCACATGGTCCTCCATGGCCGGAATGGTGTTGCCAACCATCAGTAAAGTCATGGACAGTTTGTAAAATCCATAATTTTTACATTTGTCTGTGAATGTCCATTACGGACATGTAGACTGCATGTCCTTAATGGACCATCCTGGACAGATGTAAAAATCACAGATTTTACAAATTGTCCATGAATTTACTGATGGATGGCAACCCAGCAATCCCTGGGTATTACCTTTAGCTCTTGGCAGTGGAACTGCAGGAAAAAGAAGTGGTCAGTTCCTAGTTCTTAGTGGTCGGTATGCTGGGGTTGGGGGGGGGGGGGGGTGTTTAAAGCAAACTTGTTGAGACAATTTGGGTGAACATAGACCAACTTTTTGGGTCATAGGAAAAAAAGAGAGTGAGGTCATACTCTTTCATTATTTTGTGCAGTCACTGTTTCCTCCAATTAATAACAATTTCAAGGATTTTAAATAGCACACTTCTATTTCACATGTGAAATAATTTTCCCATGTTTATTGTACACATTGTACATGGAAAAAACAGCAGCAGTATTGGTGTGCTATTTCATCTCCATTACCTCTTTCCACAACTTTCTTGCAGACAACACTGAGGAAATTATTGGACAGGATGAAAACATTGTTCATTGTCAACATCTGAAGTTCTTCTCCCTTCCTATATGCAATGACCACATTCGTTTATCATGAGCTTGTTTTGCAGCATCTCATCCCACCTGTCCATATGTACATGGACTGAATCGTTAGTCCACAAAAAAAATCAATACTCTAATCTTTCCAAGACATGGAAAATAATTTCACACTATCAGCAGCTTATGGAACATTCCTATCAAACAGCTACAACTGTTTTAAAATACAGCCATGGTCAACGTTAAAATGATTAATGAGAAGGTAACTCTTATTTTGAATTGTCTGTCAAATCTGGTACCCATGGATACTAATTTTTAACACCATTCAACCCATAATACCCTGAGGCTACAATTCTTCTTCCCTAAGAATCTTAACCCTCTTGTATTTTATTGTATTGTAATTGTACTGTCTCTCATTGGATTTTAAAGTGCTGTGCAAACTGTTGGTACTATATAAATTATGTATAATAATAATAATAATCTAAGATTTCCCATTTATAACTGAACAAATATTTTGTCATTTATACTGACTCAACACTAGTCTATTAGGTACCTACACTTTATATTTTGCAATGTTACAATGTAACTCATTGCTCACTTAATTAAATTGTCATGTGTGTACAGTGTAGGCTTTTTTATCTAAAAAATAGAGATCTGAAGTTGAATAAAAATATCTCCAAAATTCCATTGCGTTGCTCTCCCATCAAGATCTTAATTTTTGCTCCAAAGCTTGTCTTGCTAATCCCTTTACCGGTAAGAGGTTTCATCACTTCACGTATTAATGCTCAGAATATCGCTAAAGCCTAGCACACACAATGAGAAAATTGTATGAAAAATACAGCTTTCAGTGTTATCGTCTGATAATATGATCATTAGTACACAGCTTTCGAGAGCATGACACAAAATTATCCGAAGGGACGAGCATGAAACTTTTTCTCATATGATACGAGAACTATTTTCTTTTAATCATCACAGTATTTGTCTGTGAAAATTGAGTGACCGAGACCATGCATGCTCAGAAATGAAAGAATACATTACAATATATTACAATACATTACATCACTTCTGAAGTTGTATTCTGTCATACGAGAATTTTTTTAACTTTTGTAGCCTCTTCATTTTTGAGACTAGCATGCAAAAAAAAAAAAAATGTTTTCCAATATTCTTATCATGTGTGCAAGGCTTACGTCTAGCCATACATACAGTGAAGGAAATAAGTATTTGATCCCCTGCTGATTTTGAATATTTGCCCACTCACAAAGAAATGATCAGTCTAAAAATCGAATGGCAGGTGTATTGTAACACTGGGAGACAGAATAGCAGCCTTGTGTAGGTCTACTATCTTGTCCCTGACATCCTTGGACAGCTCTTTGGTCTTTGCCATGGTGGAGAGTTTGGAATCTGATTGTTTTATTGCTCCTGTGGACAGGTGTCTTTTAAATAGGTAACACAATGAGATTAGCAGCACTCCCTTTAATGCAGGCCATAAACGGGCCGTTTATTATTGGCCGAATTGTCGGCCGATGAACAAAAAATCGGTTGCCGATGCTGCCACCAATGTCCACAAAAAACGGGCGTTTTTCGTGGATTTTCCAGCAAGATAAATGAGAAGATCCGCGAAAAACGGCCTACGGGCTGGCCCCACTAATGGCGTGAATATCGGCCAATTTTTCGTGCGGATGAAAATTCGGCTGATAAACGACCGGTCTATGGCCTGCATAAGAGACTGCTTCTAATCTCAGCTTGTTACCTGTATGAAACACACCTCTTAGCCAGAAATCCTGCTGAATGATAGGGGATCAAATACTTATTTCCCTCATGAACATGCAAATCAGTGCATAATTTGTTAGCCATGCATTTCTTTTGAATTTTTGTGTTGCTATACTGTCTCTCAGTGTTACAATACACCTATCATTCAATTTTTAGACTGACCATTTCTTTGTGAGTGGGCAAACATTCAAAATCAGCAGGGGATTAAATACGTATTTCCTTCACTGTAGATACATTTCTGCTGGCTTAATGAGAGAATAGTTCATTCATGCTGAATAGTGTAAATGGAGGAGTCCCTGCTGCTGGCTATTGTATTCAAGCAGCCATGACACCCGCAGCTGCTTGCATACCTGTGCAATAACTGCATCTAATAGGATGCAATCACTGTTTGGCTTACAGTTTTCCACTTGTCTCCTTTTGGTTTTTCAATCAAAGTTTGTCCAGCAGGCTAGCACTAACAGGGCTACCTGTGGCTTGAATTTTGGACAATTTAGCAAGAATGGACTAAGATTTGAGCCTTGTGTGGCCAGCTTAAATTAGCTTCCCTGGTGCAGAGGATAGGCCTGTATCTTTACAGGTAAGATCCCCTTTCTGAAATTGTATAGACTTAAGCAGGTTTATACACATACCAAAAATCATCCAGTTTGCCAGTAACTGGTCGACTTTCGTTATGTGTGTACTGCTGTCTGTTCAGTTGAATCAGGTCTAACACCAGCTTCTGTCGAGCGTTCATGCTATAAAACCAGCATTCCATCAGCCCTTGTAGCTAATGCCTGCATCAAGTGTAAAGTGCTGATCTGTGTATTTTGGCAGATGGGAGTCCCTACTGTCAAGGTGCAATAGAACTAGGGATGCACCGATACCAAGTATTTTCACAAATACTCATGCTCATGAAAATGCTCCTGATATCTGAAATCGATATTTTGCGCTATGATTTGTGTCAATACAAAATGTATGGATGCAAATTGCACCGCAAAGAATAGCACGCAACTTGAACAGGAATTTGACTCCTGTCCAACTTGCATACGGTTTCCCCACTACTCCTGTGTGAACCCAGCTCAAGTTCACACAGGAGCAGTGCGGGAAACCTTCCTGCACTGATCCCACACTGTCACAAAGGGAAAAGCTGTGGATTTGAAATCCCTGTGGCGTTCTCTCCTCTCCGTGTGAGGACAACACTGAGAGATCAGCACCGCCATGGTGCTGGCCAATCAGAAGCCATCTAGCCCATACTGTCATTACTGCAAGAAGAGGAGAAAAAGCAGTGGGGATTTCAAATCCCCAGACCTGTAAATCGGCTTTCTCTACTCTCCCTGCAGGGATGACAGTACGGGCTAGATTGCGTTTTATTGGTCAGCACTGCTATGATGCTGCTGAAACAATCAAAAGCCGTCTAGCCCATACTGTCACCCCTACATGAGAGGAGAGAAAAGCCGATTTACAGGTCATGTCCTGCATCTGATTACTGGATTACACTGATGGTGCACTAGATGAAGAAGTGGCTGGACAAAAGAGCAGCTGCAAAATGCTTACTATAAGTATTATTCTATTTACAGCTGTTTTGTTTAACAATTGAAGATCTCACTTGCCTGGGTCTAGATCCAGTTTAACAAGTTACCTTGCTTTGGTAAGACATGAATTAGACTCCTAGAACTCTAGGCTTATAATATAGCTAATAGTCTTTATAATGGCAACAATACATTTTTGTTGAGTCATTTCTTTTGGCTGCTTGTCCATATATGCCATCATTTTACTTGTTCATGCTTTATAGTCTTACCTGCCTGTTCATAAATATGTAGATAATAGGATTATAGACAGTGCTGGTTTTAGTCAGGTACATTGGCACAGTGGCTATTACTGGATTGATATACATGCCAGGATTTGCCACAACCATCATTGCAAAAGCCGCATATGGGAGCCAACAAATAAGAAAAGCCAATATCATCACTAGGACCATGCGGGAGACCTGGACCTCAGCTTTGCTGGTAGTTCCTCCTTCTGCCACACCAAGTTTGGCTACCTAGGAAGAGGCAAAGAGAAAGATAATTTATTTTGTGAATTAACGCATATTTAGAAAATATGTAATATGTGGTTTTTATTGTGAGATATGTTAAGGCCATCATAAATTGCTTGAATTTTTGCCAATTCCTGCTGAATCAGTTAAAATTTCACCCACGGGTGGACCTGCAATAACCACCCAGCTTGACAAGAATTAAAAAATTTAAACTGAGCTTGGTGGCAAATTATCTGGGGAACAGAGACTGCATCTGATAGGACATATCCACTGTTCCACCGACAATTTTCCAGGTGCCATGGCTGAATACTATAGCTGGCAACAGAAATCAAGTGATTTTCTCTCATTCAACCCACAAGCTTGACAAGAGAATATCAGGTCATGTGTGGTGGCCTTTAGTGTTGACTGGCATTTTTGATTCAGGAGAAGTAAGCCTGTATACCAACCTGCTGCATAGGAACTACCGTTTTTAAAGGACAGCTCCTGCAAAATGGATATTTCCATTCTTCATGGATAGCAAGTTGCATCACATTTAACTGTTTTTGTTACACTCAGTACTTCTCTTACAAAGAATACAGGATTTCCTAATACAACCAACTCCAACAGCTGTTACAAGCTGCTTGATAGCATCTGGATATCTTAAGCTGGACATAGACTGGTTAAAATTCAGTACACTGTGGACCCCCAAATAAAAAGGCTGTAGCCAAATAAAATAAAATACATCCCCTTAAAAAAGCAAACTCTAAAACATTGAGCCTCAACCCAATTTAACCCAGCAGAAAATAAAAAAAAATAGTTAAGCTGGAAAAAATATAACTACTACTAACTGCTACTAACTAGAAATAGACAGCAACTAGGGCCCATCAGCTAAACAGTAACCACAGTTGTTGCTGACACACCCAGCAAAGTAGTCCTAAAAAATTACTGTTGGGTCTCTGAAAACCACACAGGGTGAGGGATTAGGGGGGATGGTACACAAGCATTTGTAACCCACCACACTGCAGTCCACAGTAACTTAGCAGGCCCAATATGGTCACATAGAGACTGTCTAGCAGATAACTCTCCATACAGACTCCCAGCTCCACTGAAACTACTCCAACACAGACTGACAATTGCTTGCTGGGAACCCATCCTTTTATAGTACAGAAACTGCCATTATTGGCCCTGCTAAGCCAGCTGACTTAAGTTTAAAGGCAAGGCAGTGCATAATATTTGCAAAGAATTAGTATGCCAAATTCCTCTATTAATTCCCTGGACTGCAAACCTCAAACATGCAGGATTTGTCTCGAACAACATGTAGTGGTGAATTAGTCTAAACCTCATCCCTAGTCATAAATCATGGTAGGAAAATCACACTGCTGGAGTATCAAAGACGTATTAGAAGTCAAAGGATGACCAGGCTTCTCATATAACATAACAAGGTAGACTAAAGCTGACCATACACTCTAAGGATGTCTCTGTAACATCTCTAAAATATGCCTCTTTCTAACCAATGAAACCTCCAAACTACGCATTCACTTCCTTGTTAGCTCTTGCCTTGACTATTGCAAGTCCCTTGTTATAGGCCTACCTCTACAGAAGCTATCCACTTCTTATCATAAATGTTGCTATAAGTATCATCTACCTCACCCAACTGCTCAGTATCCGCTGACTCTTTCTGCCAATGCTTCCACTGGTTTCCAATTGCCAAATTAATAAAATTCAAAATACTAACAACATAAAAGCAGTTCCCAATTCTGCCCAAAGCTACATCACCAATCTTGTATCAATATACAGTATCACCCAAACTGTCCTCTTTGCTCCTGTTCTCTAGCTCCATTGTCGCTTCTTCCCATGCTCATCTACAGGACTTTTCAAGAACCTCTCCCATCCTTTGAAATTCCCTACCCCAATCTGATTGGTTATTTCCTACTCTGTCCTCATTTACAAGATTCCTGAAAACTCATCTCTTCAAGGAAGCCTATCCCGCCTTTAGCTAACAACTGAACTTTGAATTCTTTTATCAGGTCATCCTGCACAGTTGTCACCTTTTGAGCCCCTCTTTATTCAATTGTAAGCTCTCATGAGCAGGGACCTCCTAATCTGATTGTATTATATTGTAGTTGTACTGTCTCCCTATATTGAAAAAAGCTGTGCAAACTGATGGCATTATATATATGCTGTACAATAATAATAAGAAGATATGTGGCTGCACCCAATCAAATACTATTTAGGGGTCATTTTAGGGGTCATTTAAGGGTATTTTGTGGGGTCAGCAGTCAAAACATTATAAGCACATTGGTAGATTTGTTCATCTGCACTGTATATTTTCGTACAGCCTGCAGGCTATAAGCGTATGGCCAGCTTAACTCTTTAGGACATCATATTAAAAGTTAGAATGATAAAAATCACCTTCAAATTCTATACAATCAAAACTCCAAAAATAACTATATGATGAAAAACTTAATGATCCAGAGAATTAAAGTAAAAATAAATATTAATATAAATTAATTGCTTTTCACACCATAGAACATTTTACCTACTCTCAGTTCTAGCTACATTTTAATGGTCTCTGGGTAATTATCAGCTCTCAGTAGCCATTAATTCAAAGAGAGTTTCCTCTAATAAAGCTGACTGATTGGATTAGATTAGAAGAACTTCTTAGGCAGTGCACAGTTATGTGTCACCTCAGGGAACATTTAAAAAGAATCCGTTTGAACAAGTGCAACCCTGGTAGCAAGCCCCTGGCACTGGCTAAGTGTTTTCATAACACCAGAGTCCATTCATTTACATTTCTTAAAGTGACATGGATTAATGTTCATTTTATGGCTAAATGTTAAGCTGTGACATTTCATTTCATTTCATTGCAATTTGGTTCCTACTGTTGTATATTTAAATGTAATTTGCTAAGGTATTTATTTTGAAGTTCTTTCCTAATTTTCTTTGCTCTAAGTTTCATAAAATCAATGCAATTCTGCTTTGTGAGCATCTTTTCTTTAAATCTTGTGTAGCACTACCCTCTTGAGGGCTGCTAGATTTATTTTGGGTCCCCCCAAGCTCTGCACGGCCGGGGGATGCCTAAGGAACTGCAAACTCGAGGACAACTTTTTAGCAACCTGTAGACTGTACAAAAAGATGTGGATCCAAAAAATATGGCACTGTCTATTTAATGAGTTTTAAAGTCTCCTTGGTGTACCTCCTCAGACCCCAGATATATCCTTTCTTTTCACTCGACTTTTCACTGAGGGTATCCCTAGGTAAGGATTCCAAGTTCTAGCAATTAAGTAGTCCTGGATAAAAACTAGTGACCGCCTTCTCCCTTTATCTGGCCCAGGGGGTATAGGAGTACTCACATTGCCTGTCCTGTTGGTGTGGTGGATTGGTAGCTGCTTTCAGGCCTTTTGCTGGGCTGGCTCCTAACCTGCTGCTCAGGATGTCTTCCCTAGGAGACTTTGGGTAGTGGAGATCCTTCTGTCCAGCAACCAGCCTGTAGGTAGGCTCCCCTCCCTGAGACCTCCTCCCAGGCTTCACACTCCAGCCTTCCTCTCAGACCATCTCCGTTGCTGCACAGGCTCTGCCCAATTTAAGGGTTGTTTTAGGTCACCACGCCCAGCCTCCTGCCTGGGGATTGGCCAAGATTCCTCAAATATGCAGATCTGGGCCTCCTCCCCTCCTCTGAGGTGAACTCCTTTCTCACTCCGAGGCTGACTCATTCCAGGCTGCTAAGCAGCCTCTGACTACAAAACAACAAAGCCTATCTAGCTAGAGGGCATTACTCTTTGCATATTTAACAAAACCTGTAAGGAGTAACACAGAGAAAAAAAAAAAAAATGACAGCTGTTGCTGTTACCTCATTGTTGGATCAGTCCTCACAGTCCCCACAAACACCTGGTGCTTCTGGGTATTATAATGCAGTGCTGGTGGTCTTAATGGCCAATTGCTAGGTCCAGGGCTGTTGGGTAGGGGAGCTTCCTTAGGGATAATTCTCAGGGGTGTTTGGTATTAAAGTTTATAAAATGTAACAAAGTTTTACCAAACACATGATGGACCTTTTCGATATCTGTCCATAAGGTGGTGAAGTGATACGGTGGATGGAATCATAAAACAAGGCCAAATTATACATTTCTCTTGCTTATTTCTGTATATGAAAAATAAAGTTTTTATTTATTTCATCCCAAAAACAAACAAACAATATTTTGCAACACACTTTCAAGGCAGGAGTGGTTCCCCTTTCAAGGCAGTAGTGGTTATACAGTGCCTTGAAAAAGTATTTATACCCCTTGAAATTTTCCACATTTTGTCATGTTACAACCAAAAATGTAAATGTATTTTATTGGGATTTTATTTGATAGACCAGCACAAAGTGGCACATAATTGTGAAGTTGAAGGGAAACGATAAATGGTTTTCAAACTTTTTCAAAAATATCTGAAAGGTGTGGTGTGCATTTTATTCAGCCCCCTTTACTCTGATACCCCTATCTAAAATCTATTGGAACCAATTGTCTTCAGAAGTCACCTAATTTGTAAATAGAGTCCACCTGTGTTTAATGTAATCTCAGTATAAATACAGCTGTTCTGTAAATCCCTCAGAGGTTTGTTAGAGAACATTAGTGAACAAACAGCATCATGAAGGCCAAGGAACACACGAGACAGGTCAGGGATAAAATTGTGGAGAAGTTTAAAGCAGGATTAGATTATAAAAAAAATATCCAAAGCTTTGAACATCTCACAGAGCACTGTTCAATCCATCATCTGAAAAAGTATGACACAACTGCAAACCTACCAAGACATGGCCGTCCACCTGAACTGACAGGCGTGGCAAGGAGAGCATTAATCAGAGAAGCAGCCAAGCGGTCCATCGTAACTCTGGAGGAGCTGCAGAAAGCCACAGCTCAGGTGGGAGAATCTGTCCACAGGACAACTATTAGTCGTGCACTCCACAAATCTGGCCTTTATGAAGGAGTGGCAAGAAGAAAGCCATTGTTGAAAGAAAGTGATAAGAAGTCCCGTTTGCAGTTTGTGAGAAGCCATGTGGGGGACACAGCAAACATACGGAAGAAGGTGCTCTAGTCAGATGAAACCAAAATTGAACTTTTTGGCCTAAAAGCAAAACGCTATGGGTGGTGGAAAACTAACACTGCACATCACCCTGAACACACCATCCCCACCGTGAAGCATGGTGGTGGCAGCATCATGTTGTGGTGATGCTTTTCTTCAGCAGGGACAGGGAAGCTGGTCAGAGTTCAGAGTGATAGGACGATGGATGGAGCCAAATATAGGGCAATCTTAGAAGAAAACCTGTTAGAGTCTGCAAAAGAGACTGGGGCAGAGGTTCACCTTCCAGCAGGACAAAGACCCTAAACATACAGCCAGAAATACAATGGAATGGTTTAGATCAAAGCATATTTATGTGTTAGAATGGCCCAGTCAAAGTGCAGACCTAAATCCAATTGAGAATTTGTGCGGCATTTCAGGAAAATATCTCATCATGGCCACTAGATAAAGCTGTTGATCAAAAATAGAAAATTATATTTCACACAAAATATACACATCAGGACTATTATTTGCCACGGCTGTGTGAATGCTGAGATATTCATATACAGTAGCTAATTTAAAAAAATAAAAAACCCTAAGATGGTCTTGTCTCTCCTTTTCCTTTTATTCTCGCTAAATAAAAAAAGAAAGCAGATTACCTGACGTAGAGTCCACATGAGATATCCATAAGAGACCAGGATGGTGACAAATGGGATTGCAAAGCAGAATGAGAAATAGCAGATGATGTAAGACATATTGATGGGGTCAGGATTGTTCCAGTCTGGAGCACAGGAGGTCTCCACCCCTTCCAGCTGATAACTACCCCAGCCAAAGAGAGGTGGCGTGTTCCAAATCAGAGACCAGATCCAGGAAACAGCAATTCCAGCTAGGGCCTGCTTGGGGGTAAAGGTCATGGTACCCATAGGTTTACACACCACAACCACGCGGTCCACTGCGATTACAGCGATAGTGCAGAGTGCTGCAATTCCTGCAATGAAACAGATGTTGTATATATGACATCTGCTAACTGCTAGCCAACACATCAAAGAGCAATGAAACAACACAATAAATAAAAAAAAATCAAAGTAAGAGTACACAATAAAACTGTCGCCCTCCTTAGTTTTTAATTTCCTGTTTCCCTCAGGAATTAAGTGCCTTATGGGAAATATATAGTATCCCTGCAATGTATGCTCCAGTGTGCCTCTCCATTAGCAGAATTAGCCACTTCAATATTTTGCTTATTTAGCACCCTGTCTTATAGAACAAGGGAAAACTAGCCATTAGCTGACATGTCTAAAATTTGTATGTGATGTAAAACCTTGAAAAATAGGTTCACTTATTAGCGAAATGGCTCACTTTCCCAATCCACAGAGAAATGTGCTGCATTTTAATTGTAAATAATTGTTAATGGCACCCCCACGCATCGGCACCTGCAGCGTGTTTTCACACATGCCAAACCACATGTTGTCACAGCACTGTGCAGTTAGGTGCAGCGCAATTGAAAAAAATGGGAACTTCATTCTCCACATTTTGATGGGTATATAAGGCCTTATTTTTTTTTTTAGCTAATTCCAGTCTGGGCCAATTCTGACATTCCTCTCCTACATGTAAAATCAGAATTTATTTCTAGAAAACTAATTTGAACCCCCAAACATGACATATTTTTTAAGCAGAGGCCCTTGAGAATAAAGTTGTGGGTGCTGCATATTTTTATGTCACATGATATTTGCACAGCAGTTTTTCAAACGCAAATTTTTTGGAAACAGTATACTTTAATGAATTTTAATTTACAAAAACACAATATAATATAAAATATGATGTCATGCAGAGTAAATACTGTAGATACCTAACATGTCACAATTTAAAATTTCATACACCTTTGGAACAGCACCAAACTACGATACCTATAAATCTCCATAGGCAATGCTTTAAAAACCTTACAGGTTACCGGTTTAGAGTTACACAGTAGATCTTGTGCTAAAAGTATGCTCTTGCACGTGTGGCGCGATCAACGTGTGCATGTTCACATTTAAGCATGAGCACTATGGATAGGGCACTTTAAATTTTTTTGAAAAATTTTATTTAAACGTGATGAACAACATCCCTTGTGATAGCATGGACTGTGACAGGTCCTCTCTTTGGAGAGATTTGGGTCTATTAGCTCCAAGATCTCTCCTTTGGCCTCCCTAGCATCAGATGCTTTCACAACAACTTGTTTACATGAGACCGAAACCGCAAGTGGCAAAATCACTTCTGGTTTCTGGCATCACACAGTGGGTAGAACAACATCAGTTCCTCTTACTGTGTCCCAGGAAGCGGCAGGGGCATATTTACTACAAGGCAAACAAGGCATTTGCCGAGGGCGACATTTTTTAGGGGGGCAGCACTGCTTCCCAGAAGAAGAGACATATGTGGTATGGGGACCAGGTGGGATCCAAGAGAGGCTGCGTGCTGCTTGATGGTGGATGCAGAAGCCCAACTGTCATTCCCAGGGATGCCCAGGTATTAGTGGAAGGCTCTCTCGGGTGGGGGCGTTTTTGGTTGTTGTCAGGCTCTCTACGTGGAGGGGGTCTGGTGTTGGTTGGTGTCAGGCTCTCTCCGCCGGGGAGGGGGGACGTCCAATTTTTGTGTTGCCTAGGGCAGCACAAAACCTAAACACACCACTGAGAAACAGATACAGCTGGTCACATCCTTCTCCCCTATTGGACGGGAGTGCCCTGTAAAGGCAGAGCCGGGGGGAGGGGAGGCACTGCCTGTAAAAGTAGTTCAGCGCCTCTATAGCTGCTTGGTTTACTTTTACATTGTAGGGAATTGTACGCTGAAAAAAACAATACTGGAATCATGGTTGTAGCCTCAACCATGATTCTGGTATAAGCATTTCAACCTTGAGTCGTTTAGAAACGACCTGGTGACAGGAAGTGGTTAATTCTCTCTGCACCTTAAATTACACTATATATAGTCACAAGTTAACCCTAAGACCCACCCACATTAGTACAAATGACTCCCATACCCTGCTCTGAAGCTACAGAGGTTCAAAGGATCGTTGGAGATATAGTTTCAGGACTGGCAAAGGAAGAAAGCAGGAAATCAGATCACTATGGAATTCAGCCAGAAAGAGTCACAGACACAGAAATCTGCTGTATACAGCTAAGGCTGCTTTCACTCAGATCTGCAGCAAAATCACAGCAAAACTACATATGTGTGTTTACCACATCTTTACCACATTTGTAGTTCATTTTTGAAGCCTGGTTCAATGACCATGGGATTACTTGATGCTTGATTGGCCAGCAAACTCGCCTGACCTGAACCCCATAGAGAATCTATGGGGCATTGCCAGGAGAAAGATGAGAGACAAGAGACCGAACAATGCAGAAGAGCTGAAGGCCGCTATTAAAGCATCCTGGTCTTCCATAACACCTCAGCAGACCCGCAGGCTGCATTGAGGAAGTAATTGCTGCAAAAGGGGCCAAAACCAAGTACTGAGTACATATGCATGCTTATACTTTTCAGAGGTCCGATATTGTTCTATGTACAATCATTGTTTTATTGATTGCATGTAATATCCTAATTTTCTGAGATTGTAGATTTGGGGTTTTCATGAGCTGTAAGCCATAATCATCACAATTATGACAAATCACGGCTTGAACTATCTTGCTTTGCATGTAATAAGTCTATCTCATATATTAGTTTCACCTTTTTAAGTTGCATTACTGAAATAAATGAACTTTTGCACGATATTCTAATTTTTTGAGTTTCACCTGTATTAGCCCAAGGAGATCTAAACGAGGTATTAGAGATGAATAGAATATTATTATCTTGTGTTAGATCCTGTATTAGTGTTATTATCCTTTATTACATTCCATTAATATCAGATTTCAATTTCCAACAGGTCTTTGTCTTCTTTCTATCATGATAATTATTGACAAGTAACGAATTGCACATACTGCAATAGTAAGTGTATGTGTTTATATTATGAGACCATGTCCCACCCCCCCTTTTTTTTCCCCTGTACTTTTAATTTTTTTCTATTTAATCTTATTTTTATTTTATTTTATTGTCAGTTAAAATTTTGTATATATATACAGTATATGTATGTTCGTATGTACTCACTTAGCCTGTTTGTATATATACAGTATGTATGTATGTATATATATTCTTTTTTTATGTTTTTTGTAATGCCAATGCAATCCCCTAGGTGTCGCTGTGGCAACTATTTTGAGTCCCATTCATTTCAATGTACCCATTTTGATTGGTCGCTTTGTTAATTACTCCAGTTCCTGCTCCTACATACTATAAGTAGTGGCTCCAAACGGGTTCACGGTCTGAGTAAGGAGGGTCTGCACATGCTCAGAGACGCATTACCGCCCCCTTGATGTCACTTCCGGTGTGTGTGTGTTCCACGCCTCTCCTTGAAGTACGGTGGCCTTCTTGTCTGTGCGTTCCACCACATTCACTACCGCTGGTCGGTTTAGTGTGTCTACCTGGCATTATAGCTGATGAGCTTTTATCTGACTTCTATCTTGTAAGTGCTTTTAACCTTTACTACTCAATACACTGCTGCATACTTCACTTAGAGGCTCCTTCCTTGCTATTTACTTTACTAGAGTCTGCTTCCACTCTTGAAGAGCTGCTCCAGTGCACAGTATGCTCCCATGTCATCTGGTCTCCCTTTCCTCCACTGGATGCCGAAGATCTTTTTCTCCTGATGGTCATACCATTGCAGAGCGCCCTACAAACAACGGTAGTCTACAGTGGGGAGCTGAACTAGTCTGGGACTACATCCACATTCCCAAGTCTTTGCAGGGCTCTCACAACCAAGAAGCTTGGGTTAAATTTCAGGATATCCCATGGGAATGGAGTCTGGGGCGAGCCATTTACAGGGACTGTGTACCGGTTATCAAAGCCGGGCGGCTCAGTCGAAGCTAGTCAGTTGCTGTCCGGAGGTCTGGCGGTGATAATATTAGACTGTCCAGACCCAGCATATACTGCTAGAAGGGATGACGCAGGATTCCGGCCCGAAAAAATTTGGGAATACTTGCTACAATCTGCCTTCCCTTTTTTTGCCCTTGGACTAGGCTGGACTAGCACCATTCAGGGCCCCTTTTTTCTGCTACTTGATGCACAGAGGGGCTCCTACTTAATGCCCCCTTTTTTTTGGTTTAAAGAACTCATGCTGATTTGCCTTATCTGTTCTGTGGGCAGGATCATGACCCCCTGCTAGGCAATACCACTGTATGTAGATAGTTATGGTAGTTTAGTTAGGATTGCATGATTATTCCTGGCCAATTTGTGGTCCAAAAAAAAAAAAAAAGAAATGAACTTTAGTTTGTTGCTTCAGAAGAGGGCTCCTTCTGCGTAGGCAGCACCTCTGCTGAATTATGTGCTATGACCTTGTAACGATCGCGCGTCAGACCCCTGACCTTCTCACCAAACTCGTGACCGAAGGACTAGCCAATCTGAAACCGCGATGTCACGTGCGTAACAATGTCACGCCCAGCTGCACCCTGCACAACGATTTTCCAGCTAATGGACCACAAATCGATGTACCGGCAGCCTGGGTGCGATTGTTACTGGGTCAGGTTAATTACACAATTAACCCTTCCCACTGCCACCACCTCCTTTTTGTACAGAGAAAGAGGAAACTCAGCAATATCAGCAATAACACTATGATGGTTGAGATAATCGTCTGTAGAGTACTGTCACTGCAGATAGGTTATACAGAGGGTTACAAAAACACAGTAGCGCTCTTTTAGAGGCAGGAATTCGTAAGTTGCATTAACAAGCTATAGAAACAGTTTAACACTTTCAGAAAGAAAGATTTATTACTAAAAGGTCAAAAGGGTGCAATAAAAATATTTACAGAAAAAAGATGTAACCACTATATATATAAACATACAGAGAACAGCAGCACAGCAAAGAAGTAACAGAAAGGAGGTTAAAGGGTTAAAGTACTTGCCAATCAGCCTTGGGTTAAGCAGATCAAGAGCAAAAGGGCTCCCAAGTTGGTTCTGTTGTTAAAAGGGAGAATTCTTCAACTTTTACTCTTAGGCCTGACAGCCTATTTTGTAGTCCCCCAGCGGGGTGTGTCTCTGAAGCCAAGGACCAATGCCTCATTTGGGGAGGGATTGTCTGGGCGGAGACCCAAATTAGAACCAAAATCTCTCTTAGCTCATATTTTGGCTCATAACTTTTCCTAGGCACAAGTACCATTCCACCCACGGGTAGATAAATATGCAGACGCATCTGAGGAACGGTTTGATATGAAATATGAAATACATACTTGATGGGTTCAAGAGATGTAATTTTCTGCTTTCCTAGGTATTCCAGTCAGGGAGTGTGACTTATCAAACGATTTGTGTTATCGTAAACAATCTGAAGATATGCCTGGTTTTTATGTAAGTCTCTCATATTCCAAGATACGAGACATAGGGGATAAATAGATTTTAAAAGTGTTATTTAGTTCCTTACTCCTCTGGAATGTCTTTGAACTCAGGGGAAGGCTTGGGTTATCTTTTTACGAGGTGCCAGATTGCTCAACTTCCCAGCCAGCCCGGCACCCAGCTCAAAGATGGTTTATAGCTCGGAGCTTCCTGCTGTGCCCTGGTCTGCCTGTGACACTTCCAACACACACACACTGACCAAATGTCACTGTGACTCTCAGAGAGGGAGGGGGAGAATGAGGAGAGATATGTTTGTAAAAGATGGATGATCCTTTGCCAAGCTGGAGGTTGGAGCCAAAATGGTTGAACCGCGTCCATCTCTGTATGCATGATTGCTACAGACCTATGTATATAATTATGTGTGATTTATTTATTCAGCTAGTGACAGGGATCTGTTAGCTAGTCTGTAAATGTTTGCGTATGTTTGTACAGTGCATCAGAAATTATTTATTTTTCTACGCTTATTTATTGGCATTTATATAATTTGTATATATATTACTCCCTTTCCAGTTTGTTCCCTTTCCCCTCCATGTTTTCTTAAGAGATGCCCTTGTTCCTGAGCTCAGGAGCCATTTCTTTTTTCGTCTAATGAGGGCATCACCGCTTTTTTTTAGTGAGGGGTGAATGTAGGGCCCACTAGGTGAGACTAGTGTAAAGTAAATTTATGTTTACTGATTTGGATGCAAGAGTGGAAAATGCATGTTGCCTGGCTGTGCAGGAAAATAGGGAGGACCCAAAGCAGGCAGCTTTCAAGAGGGTAGTGCTACATAACAATTTGTGGGGCTTTAAATATGCCTCCCATAGTAACTCTCACAATCACATTTAGAATTGAAGACAATCACTATTTTATTACAAAATCCATATAAATTCCACCAAGCATGGCTTAAAAACATACCCTACTTTAAGCCTTGGTTGGCAGATTTTATATGGATTTTGTAACAAAAATATGATTGTTTTTAATTCTAAATGTGATTGTGAGAGTTTTTTCATTTGAGGGATATTTAAAGCCCCACAAACTGTAAGTAGTTTTTTCTGGATCCATTTAGGGATGTTGCATTCTTTAGTAATACAACACTTTAAAAGTTCTGTTGGTCCAAATACTATTTGCATACACTACCTAAGTTTATAGAGATTTTTACTTACAAAGCTTGGCTTTCTGATGGCCTTGGAATCAAAGAAGTGACAAAAACACCAGCAAGGAGATTTTGCTGTTGGACAACCCAAGAAGGGGTGAAAACCCAGTGAATAATTCAACCCACCTAAATTTACCAATTGCCAATTTTGGTTGCATTTAGCCTTTACACATTAAATACTGTTAATGTTAATAAATAAATTAATAAAATAATGTTAATAAATAAAAACACTTACCAAAAAAAGCTACAGCAAACCCTTCTATGACACATCCTATTCTACCGAGGTTGAAATAGCCAACTGCATTGGTTTCAACGGTCAAGAGGCCTCCCAATATGGTGACTCCCAGGTCAGCAATTGCAAGGTTGACTAAAGAATAATTGATGGGATGCCTTAGCTGCCGAAACTTAAATGTCACCAAAATCACTGTAATATTGAGGAAGAGGGATGCCGTACAGAATATCGCCATTATAATTGCCAGTATTGTATAGCCAATTCTTGGCATAAGGACCTTTGGTGGCTGGATTGTCCCAGTGCTCAAGTTCATCATTGGCAGTAGGATGTCTTCTTGAACCATTTTTCCTGAGCACTTGGTCAGATAAATTCAAAGAGTTCTATGTGCACCCACCTACCCTTAAGAAACACTGCTTCCTTTAGAAGAGCAGAGCCAACTGATAGTATCAGCAAATCACACTGCCCATAATGCTGGACATGTAAATCCCAAGATCCGGATTTATTTTACATAATTCCACTTTCTCATTACAATTTTAATTATACATTGCACTTTTCAAGATTTGTACCTGACTGTATGAATGAATGACTTTCCACTGTCCTTATAGGATTAGCTGTGTACATGAACATAAACAAGAGTGTCTAATAAAGGTGCGAGTGGATTATTAGTTAACATATCCTGGTCATTATTGGCCAGATCTTGATAGATTTTTAGGAATAATCATTTCTGCATTCAGTAATTTATTGTGACAATCTATGCCTCTGCATTCTGCTGCACAACAAATTGTTGTCATATTGGAATGACAGTGAGAAGTAAAACAGCGCAACTGTTAGATGTTTATTTGAAGGAGACCTCAAAAAAAATAAAAGAAATGTGATGTTACTATAAATTGTGTACACCTTAGTCTACCTTTTTTTGATTGCACTCTTTGGGAGAAATTAACTGGCCATGATGAATTTGGGCTTAAAAGAGAATATGAAAAAATAATGGCAGACCTGTGGATTTCCTACTGTCTTCCAGGGAGTATCGACCGTTTTCTTTTTGATCTTGGATTGGCTTAGAGAGGGACTTTGTGCTACCTCTCCCATTTCCCTCTTCTCCTACCACTCTCCTCTTCTTTTCTACTTTTCATATCAACCTTTATCCTGCCTTAGCTCTTCTAATGCTTCATGGCAGCCTGTTCCACTCCTCTATATGGTCCAAGGCCCCACCATTGGCCCCAGTTTAATGATGTTGTCATGGGCTATTACCACTTTCAGTTTTGATTCCTTACTTTTACTTTTGTTTACATAGCTGACAAGCCTCTTTGTACTGTTATATCTGTCACCATGCATTTCCAAACTTCTTGTTGCATTTTTGATCTTCTTGCAGGAGCTTTTTTGAAGTGATTGCTTATATTTATGTGTTCAAGCAAAAACTAATGAAAGTATTGAACAAGAACAAATTATGTCAGATGCACATATCAGTCAGTGTTGACCAGGGGCGGACTGACAACTCATGGGGCCCTCGGGCAACAGGGGGTCATGGGGCCCCTGTGTCCTTGCCCAAACTAAAAAAATCCTATGAAAAAGGTACCAGGGACATCTCATGGGGCCCCCTACTGACCCTGGGCACTCGGGCAGTGCCCGAGTTTCCAAATGGTCAGTCTGCCTCTGGTGTTGACTGTTGCTGTTGTTTGCTTTAAGAAGTGCTTTTCTTCTTACAAGTCTATGTGAATGCAAAAGCAGCTTGAGCAAGCCAAAAGCAGACCAGAAGGAAGTCAACTGTACCTCCAACAAAATTCTGAATTCATCTCATAATCATTGCGATCTGATGTCAAAAGCATGATACATTTGTTATTGAAGGACGTTGTCACAAGCTGTATAGCAGATGAAAGTTGCACTCTGTGAGACAATTCTTAAAAAAAGTACCAGTATGTTAAACAGAACAAAGAACCTAACTAATAGCCTAAATATGTTTTTATCATTTACGTTGATGACACTCTGTCACAATGTCCAAGGTAAACTTACAAAGACTAGCCCAGGACCATGTCCTGAGATCTGCACCTTGGGAGGAGGCTCCATGCGCCTTCATACCTGGAAGTGCGGGACGTTTGCGAGAGCTGCGACAGTGCAATAGAGAGGTGTTGAAAGTGCATTCATGCTAAGTATAAGTGGGTTGGGGGATGGGCTATTAAGAAATTTAGGCAGGCCATAGATCATGCAAATCCCTCCCAAGGAGCTATTGTGTTCTCCTGGGGAGGTTGGGCGGGGGGGGATAGGGACAGTTGGAAGCTATCCTTGCTAGGAGAACACAATGATCTCTGCTATTGGGTATGGCCACTGGCAATAATTGCATGCTATAAATCTGACATGTAAGTTTGATTGATGGATCAACTTGGGTACAATCAGCCTGTCCATAGATGGGTTGAATCTGAACTGGTCTCTGCTGAACCGGCCAAGATTTGATCCATTTGAGGAAAAATTGCAGATTTCTTGGAATGCATAAGGAGTTTAATAAATACACTTTAGAAATCTGTCTCGCTGTAGTGTGAGAAATAGCAGAATTTGTGATAGGTTCATGTATGTGTTGTAAGATATATACTGTATGAATCTGTTGCAGTTCTGACAGAACATCCCTTCTAAATAGTGGTAGAATTTTGTAGGTGGAGAAGATATTTGGAGAGGTTGGAAGAGTAATGGAAACATATCAAATATCACTTCCAGTGGAGTTTAAAGGGTAATGTCACACTTGAAACATGTTACATGTTCTACCCGTTTTTAGGGTGGAGCACATAACGTGTTCCAGCATCTTCATCTTTTCCCCCAATCCTACATCCTTGTGATAGCGGGTGGGGCATCTTCTCTCCAGTGACATGGCTGCTTCATTTAGTCACAGTTTCCTGTGAATAAATAGACTCAAAGTACAGTCAGCTATTGCTGGTAACACTCTCATAGTCCATTGATTTTCCTGCTCTCTGGTAACTGCCTACCTGTACAAGGTAAGGGCAGACAGCTATCCTGAGAGTCTGCAGGAACCTGACATTGCACCCATGATCTGCTGATCATGGGTGCAATACTCTGCAGGATTCTTAGAAAAAAATTGATAAATGCACATTTTTTTTATCTACAAAAAATGTGCATTTATTATTTTTTTCAAAAGGTGAATTTTGACTTTAAAGCCAAATTTCATTGCAGAATTGTCTCAAAGATGCAACACAATAATTACATGTCTGACACAATCAACAATTTACTCCAACATGGAAAACGTCTTTTTTTACTGCCACCTTCCTTATCACCAATACCAGCATTGTTTTATGAATTAGCCCCAACAGATGTGCCATACAGTAAAACTGTTGCTATAAACAATGAGAATGCTGCAAGGCTTTCATAATTTGTTGCCAGGCTTCCAACTATATACATACCACCAGAAATATGTTGCAAATGCCTTATTGAATTACCTTCATTATTTTTAAATACAAACTTCTTTGCTGGATACATTTACAAAATATGAGAAGCCACATCACCTTGTCATGGCACCATTGTGATGTGTGGTCCTACTCTAAACTATGTGGCAAACCCAACTGGGACATCTATGCAATGAATAGAGTGTCTTAGAGAAAGTCCCATCACTCTTAAGAGTAAAGAAACACAGACCTAGACTTTCACAGGGAAACTGAAGTCCTCCAGTTTATGTATCCACCAAATACTGAAAAAAAAACTGAAGCACTTATGTCAGTGAATTACTAGCAGAGGAAAGGAAATTTCAAAGTGAGGCTTAGTTCACACAGGGCAATTACATGTTCCCCAAGCAGGGCCTTGTTTTGCTGACCTAGGGATACTCATGGTGGCAGTCCAATTGTTGTCTATTAGGATGCAGCAGCTGCACCCAAAAGTGGCCCCAAACACACCCACACAGATATCATCTTGGGAGACAGCAGCTGTATCCTTATAGCCACTGCATCCCAATATACAGTAATGGGACTGCACGGAAATGCATACAACACCTGTGCATCCCCATGCCAGCAAAACATGGCCCTGCACAGGACACAAATATAATTGCCCTGTGTGAATAAGGCCTAAATGTACAATACTAATATTCCAGAGAACCTAACTATAAACTGGTTCTGTTCTATAGGTTAAGGTCTTTGTTACATAATTTGAAAATATATGTTAAGCCACATGTGAAGGCACCTTTGTAAAGTGTGGTTGTATCCTAAACTAAGTGAGCAGCTATGTATACAACAGGCATCATGAATATCCACATGGCATAGTGCTGACTTCGATAAAGGGGTACAAATTTTATTGTAGCACTACCCCCTTCGGAGTTGCTGAGTTTTGGGTCCCCCTATAGTTCTGCCAGGCAACATGCATTTTCTTCCACACTTGCACACTGGAGACTGTAAACAGTCCTTGAGCTTGTTCTGTAGTTTTATTAAGGGGAGCTGAACTTGCATGGGGTTGAAGGGCGTATGAGGTGTCCAAGGAAATGTAGAAACTTGAGTACAAACTCCTTAGCAACTATGTACAGATGTGGACAAAAAAGAATGAACGTCTCTCCTTTGAAGAGCTCTCCAACCTTGCTGGTGTACCTCCTCAGACCCCAGATGAATCCTCCTCTTCACCCAGCTGGCTGGGGATTTCCTAGGTAAGGGGACCCAGAAACCTCTACTGCAGTAAAGCAGCCCCAGATGAGGAGCTAATTGGATCTTGTCACCTGATTGCCCTCTCCCCTTATTCAGCCAGGGGGTGCAGGATTACTCACTTAGTCCTCTCCTGTAAGCTTGTGGGTTGGTGGCTGCCTTCAGGCTTTACACTGGGATGGCTCCTTCCCTGCTTCCCATGCTGTCCTTTCTCAGTGGATGGTTGAGGCTGAGAGTGTTGGTTATGTGTTAGAGAAGACACTGGTAGCTTGTGATGAGGCAGAACACTGTTTTTTCTTGTGTGGCTTAAGTTGCAAACATACAGAACACATTTCAGCAGACATCTTGGTTTTGAAGAGAGGAGAGAGAACCAACAAGTTTTACACACATGCACAACTAGTAACCTTAGTGTACAGTGCCATCTACTAGTCAAGTGATATTAACACACAATACTATATAGTACATGCTGTTGCATTCCCAACACCCCTTCTCAACGGCATGTGCATAATTATATGACATTTAGTCTCTTTTGTAGAAAACAATGACGTTCCCTTGGCAAAGGTTTGGTGAGTGCGTCTGCAGTCATCTCCTCTGATGGGCAGTATTGGATGTCGATAACCCCTTGTTCTTGCATGTCTCTGAGCAGATGATA